TTCACATCCATTTGTTTGTCAGGGTTATTCCAGATAGGTGTACAACTGCATAGGATAAGTGATGACTTTGTCATTTTAAGAAATTCCCACCATGCTGTCAGGGAAGAGCTGATGTTAATATTTTTAAAACATGAGTGCTGCTTGATATTAGAGCTAATAAACGGTGAATCTGAAACTATGATATTACTGCATATTTTCTGTTCTGTGTCTATCCAGGGCTCATCTAAGGGCTTATGTTTTATCCATTTAGAGATACAGTATATTGTAGTCTATTTGCTAAGAAGTAGCTTTGGAAGTTAAGTAAATCTAGTCCCCCCTCTGTCTTTGGTTTTCTGTAGTGTCTTGAAGCCGATAAGAGGGGGTTTTTCCTTCCAAAGAAATTTAGAGATGGAAGAATCTAAAGATTGGTAACAGTAGTACTATAGATTTATAGACTAATTTATAGAGTAATCTAACTTTTGAGAAAGATTCTATTAATCTAATTACTTGAGAGAGGCAAGTGTTTGAGTGCTGGAGATAAAGCCATACATCATCTGCGTAAAGACTAATCTTATGCTCTATTTTCATACCTTTTATACCTTTAAGCACATTAGTCTGTCTGATTGTAGCAGCTAGAGGCTCAACAAAGATGGCAAAAAAATTTCTATTTTTAAAGTTTTTCTTTTTCAAAGGGGCTGCATTATCTAAGGCAGTACGTGGAGAACTAGCAACACCATCACAAAATCATTGACCTGTGAAGGGAAACACTTTAATGTGATGCTAGAATCCCCTACATTTGCCACATTGTTTCATCCTAAACTGTGAATTATTTTGTAAATATAAAATGTAATATTGGCTTAAATAATTTGTATATCAATAAATAAGACATTTAATCAAGCCTAATAGAACTCCTGAAATTCCTAAAATTCCTAACTCCTAAAATTGTTGGTCAACACCAAGGAATGCACTTGAGTAATCACTGAAATCAGGTGTTTAGTATAATGTTCAGACCTGCACTTGTTGCAGGTGTGTTAGTTTACTGTCGTGAGCCGGGTACTTTAATTTATCTGGGACAGTTTGTTTTTTAAAATTATTTTTTTATAAAAAAAAAAATCTAAATCAATATTTTATTTTACTATACTATCCTTTAGTATTTGTTTAATTCATTTTTACTTTTTTTTTTTTTTTTTTTTTCAAATTACTAGTGTGAATCTGCAATTTTCTTCATTGGGAGGATATGTAAACTTTCAAGCACTCTATATATTTGTATATAAATATGTAAAAAACAAACAAAAAAAAAAAAACTGTTTATATTCTTCATCCAGAATTTAAAATCACAAGTGAAAAGAATTGTATATTTGAAATAAAAAAGAAAAGGAAGTTTACATAACATGCAATTTGAAATAATTTACCTTGGACTTTGCAAATGTACTTTGATCTACAAGCTGCATGTATAACATGAGCATAAACCACAAGAATTAGGTAGGGTACCAACTTTCTAGAGTTTTAAATCAGCTTTTCATATGGTAATTTGTTATTTGCAGATGGTGTAATTTTTCAGATGGAATTTAAGTTATCATTGCCATTTAAATGTTATAATTAACAACTATAGTTAATCAGACAGTTTCGCACTAAGTCCCACATTGATGCCCTTTGAGGCACTTCAGAAACAATTCAGCAACGCACTTCCATTCAGTTGCAGCGCAATAGTAATCTTAAATGGCATTTTCTTGGTATTCAGCTGAGAAATTTCAATTCACATAGTCAATTATTAATCTGCCTCTTTCCCTTTCTTAGTGTCCTTCAATATCAGCCAACCGTATGACTAAATCGCTCTCTGTAACCACTTCACTACAGACATACTTGCAAGTTTCTTTTTCCTTCAGTTTTAGGTCCCTAAAGTTCATGTGAAAGTTTTTAAGCAGAACTTTATTAAGGTATTGCCACAGAATCTCCATTCAAATGAGTTATAGACAACTTAATTTATTTGGTTTTTATAATATCTTTCATTTTTAGTTCATTCATAAACTTTACTGTGTCACTGAGCAAGACTGGCCACTGATGTTTGGCCTGATCCCATTTCCCAGGTTTTAAATAATAAATTTAAATGTGTCTAGAAATTCCTCTATGACTCTTCCTAGATTTAAAAGGAGGAATGCTTACTTCTCCAATATCCATCGAAATGCTAAAGTCTTGGAAGAAACTTACTGAGCTCACTGAGCTGCAGGGCAGCTGTATGATTCTGTGTGAAAGGTTATAAATTCAGTGTTAAGCTCTTTGGAGGCCTCTCACTTAATAAGGCACTATATAAGTCATTTTAATTTAACAAACTCCTATGAGTTACATCAACATTTAATCAGTTAAGTATCTTTGAGTATAATTTAATTCAGTGTGATATTTATTATATGATTTCTGAACAGAATATAATTTTTCCAGTATGCCAAATGCAATATTTGGGCCCTACCTGATGACTGCCTCATCTTCCATATGTTTGTTGTGCTGCGCTAACTTTGTGGCAAACCACAAAAAATGTTTTTGATCTTTTTTTTATCAATGCTTTTCTTTTTTCCACTATTTCATAAAGGCAAGATTAAATGAGTACACAGCTAATACTAATCCTGATTAATGCTCTTCTGGCTTAATCCCATTAGTTTTGGTGACATGTCATGTCCTGCTAGGATTTGTTTTTTAGACTTAGACAGACTATATTGTCATTTTGTACACACAGAGTGTATACAAAAACAAATTTAATTTAGTACAGCTGTCAAGACATGTTCAGTTTTTAAAGTGCAGCAGTGATGAAACGTAAGGAGCAGTGAAAAATGTAAACATACGACTGTATATTATTTACAGTTTTCTTGTTTGTTTGTTTTTTATAACCCCATTTAATCAACATTCAGCAGTCTAATGGCAGCAGGGAAGAAGCTGGTCTGGAATCTGCTGGACCTACATCGGATGCTTCAAAGTCTCTTTCCAGAGGGCAGCAGGGAGAACAGTCCATGGTGTGGATGTGAGGGGTCATTTATAATGTTACAGGCAGTGCTGGGATGAAATGACTTTAATGGAGGGAAGAGGAGCCCCGGTGATCCTCTCTGCTGTTCTCACTACAGACTGCTGTTCTCACATTTTTTAGGTATCTAATCCATTTTTTTATTTTTCTATTAAGCTGAAGTTATAGTTTGGCAGCATATTTAGACTTCTTAACAACTACATCCCTGATATACGGTGTTTCCTGGTCTTCATGAGGATATGTTTTCATGTATGTTCTTTAAAAACCTTCTTAGGCTTTCACATAAATTTTTTATTTATCCTGAGATCAAATCAGGGAAAAAGGGACTCTGATAACTAATAAGGTTACTGTTGTTGGCTTAATTGCGCTAAAATGTTTTTGTTTGTTTTAGAGTGAAGGAACAAGGATGCAGACTAATTCCCGTCTTTTCTGACTTTATTTGTAAAATAAATAGATACACCCAACCCCTTTAAAAGATATTATATAGCATATTGAAGGTGTGTGAGTATTTGCGCACAAACTGTATATAAATGTTGAATTATACGTTAAATAAATTGAATGGAGGCAGAGTTTGACAAGCATACATTATTAAATAATTATTGATTTCCTTATTATGTTATGCATATTTTATATTATTAAAACTAATAATAAATACCAGTTCTTGTGGAGCATTATGTAGTGCTGTAAAGGACTTGAAGGGACTTTCAGTAACATCTTCTGTTTCTTTGGAAAATACTGTGGACAGTTTCTGAGGAAGACCAGCAGCAGGTGTAAAAGAGAAGCAGCAGCCAATCTTTGTCTCTCCAGGAGGTAGACATGGTGATAGCAGACATATATCTTCCCTTCTTTTCACATGCTTTAGTGAAACTAGGGCTGCTGTTGGGCTCCTATGTGACAGCAAAAGAGTGAAGCATTCGGTCTGAAGTGATTACCAAAATTTACCATGTAGAATTGATCAACCCGTCCAGTCAAATAACCAAATCAACAGAGAAAAAATAATGTTTAGACCTATTAACAATAAACCTTGGGTTAGATTAGGAAAGCAAAATAAATGGAGTAAAAGGCGAACTGGAACGAAGTAATTTACTTCACAGAATCGAAAATTTATGAGAAACTTGGGCAAAAATGAAATCAAAACAGAACAACAGACTCCTCTAAAAGTGACGGGCAGAAATATTTTGCCATCCTCTTTATGCAGCTAAATGCAGGAGCAGTGTGGCATAGAAAACTGAAGAAGAAATGCACCGCTTAGCAAAAGCATGCAACAAAGTTTGTATTTCTAATGTGGGGCACCAGGAGTAATTGGGTCCTCCTAAACATGGAAATTGAAAGTTTATTATGGACACTCGCTTAATCTGACCTACATCTACCATGAAAAAGCAAAGACCCCCAATAGAACTTGTAAGGATGCAATTTTGCACGAATAAGTACATCACATTGAAAGGCAACGCATTCCCAATTGGAAAGCCATCAATTTTGATGGATTTATTCATGCAGGCTGTTGTGATCAAAAAGACTCATACTAGTTAATGAAAGATTACAAAAAAAAAAAAAGAAAGAAATACATCAGTGCTTGTGCCAGGCAGGCTGAAGGGGTGGGAGTATTTATGCATTTCATGTGTGCAGGTATAAAGATGTGCTCTGGTCATTTTGAACTCCCTAATACCAGCCTGGAGCGTTTGGAGACGCGGTCTGACTCCCCCTCTGTCTGTTTAACTCCTGTGCATTCTTGCTCCTTTGCTATGGTCCTCTATTTCCAGGGCTATAATTTAAGCACCACGGACAGCTCCAGCTTCAGCAGCGACGCGACCCTGCCCAACTCCACGACGCCCCACAGCCACGATGGGCTGAGCAGGAGCGGACACACGGCGGTGGCGGTTTGCCTCGGCTTTATTTTAGTGGCTGGGATCCTCAATAACTCTCTGACTCTTTTGGTCTTCGCAAAGTTCCGCTCTCTAAGGACCCCCATCAACCTCATCCTGCTGAACATTAGTCTAAGCGACGTTCTGGTGTGCGTCTTTGGGACGCCGTTCAGCTTCGCAGCGAGTCTGCGCGGTAGGTGGCTGATTGGAGAGTTCGGCTGTAAATGGTACGGCTTCGCCAATTCCCTTTTTGGTAAGTTATCATAACTGAGGTGTTAAAGCGTTTTCTTTTCCCATTGTGTCTCCTGTTTTTTTTTTTTTTTTGTTTGTTTGTTCGTTTTCCTATTAATTTTTAACGTCCCCTGTGAAATAAACTCAGAATTATCTTTTTTTTCCCTTTCTTTTCTTTTTTCTTTTTCTTTTTTTCCACAAAATTTGAGTGTTAAACGTTGCTCATCAAAAACTGTGTTATTCAAAAGCTGGACGTTATTTTTTATTTTGTTCCTTCCCTAAAAAGTCTAACATTTTTTACAAGTTCAACTGTTCTCTAAAGTTTACATCTGCTAAGATTGATTTTAAATGTGCTTGGGAACAACTATTTAAATGTTGCTTTAACTTTAGGGTAAGGCCTGTCTCTGACACCAAATTGTTAGCCATGTTAAGATCTGTTCCCACTGCAGGAACCCCCCTTTTTCAGGACCCAGTATAGTTTTCTGTTACAGGAACCATGGTCATTAAAATTACATTCCCACACTAGAAATCTAAAGCACAAAACATCCCTGTCAACTAGTCATATTTTTGGACTTGAACCAAAAATATGACTCTGTGCAAAGGGTTTTTTTCTTCTTGCATAGTAGTTATGTTTTAAATATTAGACCTGAAATGTATACTGAGACTTCCATCATACTCTGTACATTTATTGTGTGGTTTTCCACTGGGGTATTCAAAGCTGCTTTGTAAACTGTGCCTGTAGATGCTGATCAGCTAGTTTCTACAATTTGTAAATATCTTCCCAGACCATCTATATGGTGAAAGGGTCCCCAAATAAATAAATAAAAAACCAAGATTTCTGTATTAAATCTAGAACAGATCATTTTGCCACAGAAATTATAGTTTATAACCTGTGCATTAAAAGGTGCAGCTGTAAAAAATTTGAAATGGATTTTGTCAAACAGATTTTACATTCACTTGCACTGAAGTGAGACAAAAAGGGAAAGCACAGTGCTCTGTTCCTTTATAACCAAATGATTACACAGCACACTGTATACTTAACTGTTAAACTTAATTATAATAACTTTAAAGAAGGAAAATATTTTATATAGTTGCTTCATGTGCATGGTTAAAGCACTTTTGGGACACATTTCCCATGTTTTATATTTAAAATAAATATAAAAAAAAACAGTGAATTTTTGAAAACTTCTAAAGAAAAGAGGACAATATAAATTCTGTTTCACAAATCAAAAACTCTGAAATCACCAGTAGTGGCTGTAGAATATTGCACATTTATCGCAATCCTAGAATTGCCTTCTTTTGCTCTTTCACCAAATGTAACTAGACATGAGAACTTGCTAAACCTCTCCATGATATCTGAGGTGATGACATGAGATTCAAAGGGTGACTGCTATTAGACAGTCATCAGTTATAGTTTAATTGCTTAAAACAAGGATAATGTTTCCTTTATGCAGTTTTGACAAGTTGAATTGAAGCGTTAGTGGAGATAATTTACACAATCTATAAGTTTTTGGCCCCTTAAATGAATAGTGCTAGCCATGAATGATATAGTTTTTTGATAGTCATTTAAATTAATGTATTCTTAAAAAAAAAACAACTGTCAATGTATAACTTTGAGTTAACTTTAATTGCATAAGTGAGATAGGTAAAGGAATATCATTTGAAAATTTTGGGGAAACTGACTTTAAAATGCAGAATATGTGCTGACCAAATTTCTGGAGGTGTTTTATGCCCACAGGATTCATCAAGAAGAAGGCCAAAACAAACAGGGATTGAGACTAAAATTTCCAATTACCGTGAGTTGAAAAGAAAGAATGACAAGACCAAACAGTAATAAGAAAATGGTGACCCTTAATATCCTTCAAAGACATAATTGAAAATCATCGGACAACAATTTAACAACTTCTAATAAATCTTATTTAAAGTTTTTAAATAGTGAAAGTGATTGAGCTGATATAAACCCACTGAACATTTACAAAGTATGTTTAAGATATAAAAAATATATTTCAAAGATTAATTACCTCATTTAAATTCAATGCTCACTGGTCTGTCTATAATGTTCTTCACTTGATGAGCAACAGCGAGCATCAGATTTGCTCTTTCTTTTTAGCATCATGAACACTTTTGAAATGCTATTTGTCTGATCCATCACCCAGAGCCTGTGAACGGTGAAGCTTTAGTTAAGTCTCAGAAAACATGTAGTAGTTTTCTGGATCATACGAGCACTGAAAACTTTCTACCACATTAAGATTGTGTTTCAAAGAGGCAACATTTAGGTTAGATTATTTATGTATAGATTGTTAGGTCTACAATTATGTGTGTGTAGCATAAGAGTGATGCCTAATCATGTCTTATGTAGATATATGAAAGGTGTGTTTGATATAACTATCGCTCACATTGTAAAGGAACTGTATCCAAACATCTTAAGTTTTTTCTGCATTAAGTTTTTTTATGGTCCTCCTAAAGTCCAGCTGGAGCATTGTAACCAGACTGAGGTGCCCTTTGATTAGCCCATCCCAATCCCTTGATTCAAATCTTGTTTTTTTAAGTCTTCCCACTGTAGTTTTATTTATTTTTATTATATATATTTTATTTACGTTTTAAGGCTCTAGTGGCTTGTTTTTCTGACAGTAGGCTGACAAGAAAGGGGGTATGAGAGATTGGGAGAGACATGCGGCAAAGGACCACAGGTGAAATTCGAACCCGGGTCAGCCGCATCGAGGACTAAGGCCTCCGTACATGGGTCGTTGAAGTTTTCTTTAATCATGTTTATGATGATGGAACTGAAAGCCTTGGAAGATAAATGAATGAATATTTACTTTTACAGACACGCATTATATGACTGAAGCAGTCATATAATATAATATTTTCACTCTTTTCACCTTTTTTATTAGGTATTGTGTCCCTGGTTTCATTGTCAGTTCTCTCCTTCGAGCGCCACAATGCTGTGCTGCAATCCTCCAAGGTAGACATCTCAGACTTCAGGAAGGCCTGGCTCTTCATTGGAGGCATCTGGGTCTACTCGCTCCTCTGGACACTGCCACCCTTCCTGGGTTGGAGCAGCTATGGTCCAGAAGGTCCTGGAACCACTTGTTCCATCCAGTGGCACCTTCGCTCACCCACCAGTGTATCCTATGTGCTGTGTCTTTTCATCTTCTGTTTGCTGCTGCCCCTGATTCTCATGATCTACTCTTATGGGAGAATCCTACTAGCTTTGAGGAGGGTGAGTGCAAAGTTAGAGGAGACATCTACAGTAACACATAGTAGTTTTGGTATTATGCTTGTAACTGTAAAGCTAAGTGAAAAAATATTTGAATCCTAATACAAACACATCGGTTTAATATCAGATCATTTTCACTAATTCCTTTATTGTTGTGTTTCTTTTATTTTATTGTTTCACCTTCAATGAAAAAGAACTTAATAAACAAAAAAACAAAAACAAAAAAATGCCATCATCCTTCTAAAGTCAGTGAGGCACTCATAGAAAGTTCTGCTGGAATATAAGACTCATCATCTTTGATCTTTTATTAAAGTGAAAGCAGTACTAAATAACTTTCAGTTTTGTTCGATTTTGGCTCCCCCCAGTGGACAAAAGCTGTATTGTTCTGCCAGATGGGAGACAGCATTTCCCATGAAGACCATTGTAAAGACCGTAGCGTTTTAACATCTGCCCTAACCTCTACAACACTTAATCACTATATAGAGCAGGGACCATATAGGGAATTTTATAGTGAACACTGTTAACTAACAGTTTGGACAGATCCACCTACTTTTTAAGGTGCATTTTAGAAATTTGAGTCATCCACTAGACGTTCAGACACTCATATAAAATGGCGTATATACAGTAGTGCTTCATACATGGGTTAGTGCCTGTGTTTGGACACAGCCACAGTGTCTCAGGGAAACTTAGTCAAATAGAGTTCCGTCTTTATAACTAATGGGGAAAAGGGAAAGTGACATATACCGTAAAGCGTTCTGGACATTTGCAGTTCTTTTTTTGTTATTGTTGTTGTTATTGAAGAAGAATGCCATACAAACTTTCATAGAGGATTAAAACAAAATATAATACAGTTAAGGAGCAGTAGTACACTCTAAAGTCATTTAGGAAACAAAGAAAATTGGCCTTTTTCCAAAAACAAAAAAACAACCTGTGAATAGCGACATTCAAAAATAAGTGACGAATAGTTTAGATTTCTTGATTACAAAATATACATGGGTTAACAATTAGTCTCTATTACCTCTGAAAAAATTGGCCCTCTAAAAAATAACAGTGAGCTTTAACCATCAATAGATTGTTTTTAGAACTATGCAATGTCTTAAAGGAATGTCTTTTATAATCACGGTTGATAATGTCTCAGTCCTTCATAGGTAGTGTTGTTATTACACCTGTCATCCAACAGATTACAATATTAACCATCAACTTTGGTAGTGCAACCGTTACTCGAGAATACAAAAGTGTATTTTTCTTAATCAAATTTATCAGTGAATACGGAATAGAATTACAGTTTAATTTTTTTCAAAATGTAATTTAAAGAGACAGTTAATAATTAGCCATTTCAATTCTGTTTATATATATAGTGCCATTTCACAACACATGTCATCTCAAGGCACGTTACAATTCACCAGATCATACAGTCAAATTGATTCAAAGTTTTCTATCTAAAGAAAACAAGTTTATTTTATCGACTCTTGAAGGCAATCCCACACACTAAGCATGCTTGTAGCGACAGTGGAGAGGAAAAACCCCCTTTTAACAGGAAGAAACCTCCAGCAGAACCAGGCTCAGTGTGTCCAAACAGTGTTATTTTTGTCCAATAAATCATTTACAAATATATTTTATCCAACTAAGACTGTATGAAAATGCTTTTCATACAGTATTTACAAACAATATATACAGTATTAACAGAACAATGTACAGTTGTTCTGTTATTCCATAGGGTGAAATTATGGGATAAAAGGATATGGTTAAATATTAACTTTCAAAACTGCAGCATTTGTTTGTGGTATTTAGATAAATGTAGTGGTTTAATAACCCCCAATCACAAACCAATAAAAATTATATTCCTCCCAGTTTTTGTAAGTAAAAAATTTGGAATGTGGAACCATGTGGAATTCTTTTTTCTCACAATGGTTTTTGACCATTTATTTTAAGGTTGCTTTGGCCAATGCTTTAAAATCTAGAGCATTCATTTCTTGCATATCATGACTTTCAACTAGCTGTTATCTTTTCATATAATGTATTTTGTTTTTCCATAACAAATGGATAATTATGGAGTTAGCCTTGATATTCTGAGAAGAAATAAATATTGAGTGACAGGGATAGATAAGCTTTGAAATACCCTCAACTTTGGTTAAGAAAATAAAGGGCGTAATTAACCATCAAACTATACTCAACAAAAATATAAATGCAACACATCTGCTTTGCTCCCATTTTTTATGATATGAACACAAAGATGTACAACTTTTTCCACATACAGGATAAATATTCTTCACAAACCAGTCTAAATCTGTGATAGTGAGCACTTCACCTTTGCTGAGATAACCTATCCCACCTCACAGGTGTGCCATATCATGATGCTGATTAGATGTCATGATAAGTGCACATGTGTGCCTTAGACTGCCCACAATTAAAGGCCACTAAATAGGTCTCCATGATCTACAATGAGAATAATATAAATGTTGCAGTAAAAAGCTGCTTCTTCACCTTAAAGGAAAAGCAAACCTTCTGAGCAGAGTTTTCAGAAATACACCATTGCTGTATCTCTGAGCAGCTCAATTGTATCGCATAATCATGCACATCATATCAATACCTAAAGACTTAAGCAATCAGAACTGAATAAAATGTAAATTTTCAGTTCATTGAAAACATACATAGCTCAAACAAAAGCTGTAATTTTCAAGGGAATATTTCCCACAAAAGCTTCCATTGTTGTTATCCACCTTCGTAGCTAAAGTGTTTTTCTTCCTACTTACTTGTAATAAACGGAAACGTGTGTGTCTGAGTTTAGGTGGTGTCTGTCTGACGTTTCCTTCATCAAGGCAAAAGCACTGAAGAGGCCGCTGGTGTGTGTTTACAATCTGTAAATCAATTCATCCAGCAGGAGAAGGAAAGAGGCAAGATTTTATTTAGGGAAAGCGACCTTGCGCTCTGCAATGATTCCTTGTTAGTTTCAGGTAGCTGCCTTTATTGAGTTTAATATAAACATGTCAATCATTTCCATAATTGGTAATTAAGGGCTCTAAGTTGCTCTTTGCTACCACTACTGTTATGAATGAATCACCCAGATGGTATTTTTAGACCCAGTGAGCTACCTGTTACCATTGGATACCCAATATTATACAAGCATGTTTCTTTTTTCTAGAATCTGTCTTTGCAGGGGAGTCGGAGCGTAAAAAGGGTCCAGCAGACATCATTAGATTATCAGCACCAAAGCAAGTCAGGGGCTTTTCTTAGAGCTGTTTGCAAGGGGATGTTTTAGATTGTGCCTAAAAATATGCCTGTTGGATAATGTGCTCTTGCAGCAGAAAGAAAGAAAGAAAGAAGTTTATATAAATCTGTTTAGAAGATATTAGATTTTATTTTTATTTAGATTATCTTGTCTTCAGTTGCAGTAAAACAGCACACAGTTTAGATGGACAACACTTCTAGTTATGGTTGTTTACAACTATTAAATGTCTCCTTTTTTCTGAAGTATCAAAATTATTAACAGCTATAATAAGAAATCAACTTTAAATTCATTGGTTCAGCTTGAAAAGTTGCTATATTTTATCTTCTAATTTAAAAAAATCATCTATTAAGAACCTGTACAAATTCCTCTGCAAAGCTCAATCCTTTCAAATGAAAGTGTTTGATAGTAAGGGTCAGTGTAACAAATCTGCATGTCCTCGGCTTGATTTAACAGCTCAGTGCGGTATACCAAACCTAAAGGGGGAAAAAAAAATAAATTCCAGAAACTGCAGGAACATTCATGCAAAGATTCAACATTCAAAGCCTAGATTGTTGTGGATTAAATGTGCCAACATAGATGAGATTACAGTACTTCATAGAGTAAATAAAAGCTATAGCGCTTACACCGGCTTACAAAAATACATAACACTTTGTACTGTATCCATATTAAAGCACTTTTTAATAAAAAAAAAATGTTTAATTCATTGAAGTAATTTCTTAAAATCTACTTTCACTGCTTTCATTAATCTTGGTGTTAAATCTGTACAAGCAATGGCAGAAGCAGGTGGTGGGGGATTTCCTTTGTCTGATTCCAGGTCCCAATTCTGCCAACCGACTGCTGAATGAGAACAAAATCAATTTGAATGCATGTAACCTTTATTTAAGCAGCTAAATATTATATTCACATTACAAATTTCTTTTTTAAGACAGATAATTTCAGCTCAATTTTAAAAGGATGGCCTATTTTCCAAAATACCCTTGAAGGAGGAGGCTTAGTAAAGCTGCAATTTTTATCTATTTTTTATGTAGTATTCCCCAAATTGCGTAACAATTTCACAGTGTAATAGATCTATACTCCCTGCCATTTGGAGCATGAGCATTACAGTACTTATCTAAAAGAAATGAAAAGATACAGCTGGATGCTGCAGCCAATTAAAAGCTTAGTGTTTAGTTTTAAATAACAACTGGAAAGCAAAGGATTTTTAATTTTATATGCGCCATAGAGCTCCCTTCCATTCTGCAGGGATCCAAAGTGACAATTAAAGAATAGGATTACAGATTCATTATCTTTGTGTTATTCTTTTCATTACCACTGGATGGCACTAAATCAACAAACTATACAAACAGGAAGTTTTAAATCTGTCAAATTATGTAAAACTAATGGCAAAAAAAAGTCTTAAAGTTGAACTCTGTATCGCTTGATTAGTCTTTTTCTCTTTTTCCTGGCTCCAGGTCGGTAAGGTTAATCTACTGGCGGCTCAGCGTAGAGAGCAACACATTCTGCTCATGGTGTTGTCCATGGTGTCCTGCTACATGCTGTGCTGGATGCCCTATGGCATCACAGCGCTGATGGCCACCTTTGGTAGGACTGGGCTCATCACTCCCCTGGCCAGTGTGGTGCCCTCCATCCTTGCCAAGTTTAGCACGGTGGTCAATCCGATTATCTATGTATTCTTCAATAACCAGGTAAGAGCTCAGGGACAATCATTAAAAGGGTTTTCTCTAAATAGGAGAATCTTTAAAACAATGACAGATAACAGAAAACAGCTTTCCAAGAGAAACTTGATGACGAATAGTGCTTGAACTTTTTCACATGTCATTTTAAAAGCACAAACTTCGGTTAGTTCCATCATTTATGGTATTTTTAGGTTTTAGACTAAGGAAAGCAAATAAAAAGAGGATGGATACACTTTGCATGTGGGAAAAGGTAACAAAAAAAGTGCATGACGAAAAAAATAAAGTTCTTAAAAGATGTATTACCTATGATTTCAGTATCATTCTGTTGTGGGAATGTATTTTATACAGCTTTTCTTTAAAAAAAAATGAAAAAAAAAAACTGTTATTATCATAAACGGTTTTTAAGAGTACTACTTTGTTCTTCATTGGTTTTTATCCAAAATTATTCAGAGCCACTCAGTTGAACCTAAACCTGCATTATAGATCTCCAGGACTTTGTTCCTGCCCCCCTTGCCCTTGTTCTTTGGTATGCATAGTGCTGCTTGTTCAATAATATTTTGTTTACACATAGGATGATGTCTGAAGGCTATTGTTAGCACTATAACAATAAGGCTATGAGGGTTAAGGACTCTGAACACAAAGCCTTATCACTTTCTATATATATGTATGTATAATGAAGGAATAATAAAATGTGACCCAGGTTCTGGATTTTTCATTTTACAAAAAAAAAAAATCCCAATTGGTGAGGGGAAAACTTTGTTAGGGAAATTATAAAATATATAACATCCCTGCTTTAATTTGTCAAAAGTGTCAGAATATATTTATTAGATAATTTTGAATGTTTAAATCTGCTCCCATCATTGAATGAGCAATACCAAATAAAACTAAAACAGTTTTTTAACAAAGGAGACTTCTCAAGAAGGCTGCTAGGATATGATTAGTTCTCTTTCATTCCCCTTTTCTTCGTCTTTTAAGTCTGACAAGTGTTATCAAGACTTCTCAAGTCTTTCTTAAAGGTTTTCATAGATTTTCTGTAGATACATCAGTTGTTTTTTCGATTTTAAAGTCCAGCTCTTGATCATTCTCTGTAGAATTTCTTTTAAATCTATAAATCCTATATATATACTGAAATATTCTGAAACCCAACCATTGAGACGTTACATAAAATTAAAATTAGCTAAGTCTTGTTTTGATGCACAATTTGTCTGAATCCATGAAAAAATAATCAATAGGAACTTAGTTTCATGGAAATGAAAATGGTACTTTTATCTTTTATCCAAGAAGTTTGATAGAATAAAGGATTGTGGGACTTGAAAATCAAATATGATTTAAATTAAATCAAATTTTATCCCTTTTCCACTGTGTTGCCTTTTGACTTCACTTTGTCCTTCAGTTCTTTATTTGGCTACAGTGAACAATTTTTTGTCATGACCAGATAAAAAGATGACTGAAAATGGTGAATTTAAATATTAAGTGGTGAAGAAAAACTACAAATAGGCTGAAAATCTATTAAAACCACTGTCAACGATTAAAACAGGCTCTTGAAAGGCAAATTATGCAGTTATTTTTCCAAACTATAAATGAACAAATGACTGTAAACTTCCCTTTTTAACATGATGATGTATTTTCCCTGTTTAGGTGCTTTTAACAAGATGTTCATCAGGCTGATTTTGTATTTCCCACAGTTTTACAGGTGCTTCGTTGCCTTTGTAAAGTGCAGCGGGGAACCACACTCTGTTCAAGGAGCGGAAAAGCCAGCTCCAAGAATTCAGAAGTCAGATGCCTTTGATGGTCGGAAACAAACCTCCTCCAGCCCAACACAGCCTCAGTTCCTCTGCAGCACCAGAAAAACTACTCCCTGCAGCCACCGCAGTGACAAAAACATCCTGTTTGTCCATTACACACCATGAAACATTCATTATTACATTTTCAATTGCCTGGTTTCCATTTGTTAAAGTCTTTATTATTATTAATTCCTATATTATCCTTTAATCATTCTGTAGAAGAAGACAGCTATTTGCCAAGAAGTTTTTTAAAACTAAAGACTTCTCCAGAATTATTACAAACATTCAGGTGCAATATTGCCGCATAAGAAGCTTGCACAAGAAACCAAAGGGATCATATGTATTTGCAGCCTCTCTTCCTGTTACATTTGAGTTTCTCCGTTAAATTGTATTTGTCACACTGCAGGTGTGTGTGAACACATTAGTACAAATAAAGAAAGTGTTAACACATTATGATTCCTGATAAAAAAAAATAATAATAAAAAAAAACACTGTTGATTTTTGTCAAAGGACCAAAAGCCATTTTATAATTTTTCTGGGTTACAAACGTGTCAAGTTTATCAAATTTTAAACATTTGGTGCTTAAGCCTAATAATGGATCCATTAACATTTAGTTAGTTAATCAATTTATAATACCAGAATGAATGCAAACTCTGCAGTGTTATTTTACTGACATTGAGAATATTCTTAACCACTAGGGGGAAACTATGATACACAATAAAATGTGTCAACATAAACCATCGCTCTACTCACTTCACTAAGTTATATTCTAAGGGTAGATATGATGCTATAATTAAACACTAAGTGTTCAGACACGTGCAGAAAACTGTATTGCACTCATGCAATGAAAGTTGCACATTGCTCATGTTTACTCATGGTATCTTTTTTTTCTTTTCAATCAGGGTCAATGGATTCAATCACAGATGCAAATGCAGTAGCTTGTTTTTTTCTTTTTTTCTTTTCTAAAATAAAGATAGCATTATGTTTTTTTTATTCTTCATATGCAAAAATAATGGTTTATATTAGGATTAAGTGATATTCTCAGTTTAGCCATTGCTTATGTTTTCCTTCGTTGGCCATTTCTTTTTCAATGAACTTTAAAATGTTAGACCACATTCAAATTTATAGAAAATTATATCCACTTAAAAGAAAAATAAACATTATTGCAATAAACATGTTCTTATTTTTTTAAATGCTACATTTGCATATAAAAGAAAAAAAAAAGAGTAGGTTTCATTTTAACCAATCTAATCACATCAGTGTAAGAATCATTTTGGGTAGAAATTTACATTTAAGATGTTAGAAAGGAAAATATTCAAAATGTTTAGGTGCTTTTAAAAAACAACAACAACAAAAATAATTCTTTCAAACCTTGGAAGAAAAAAACTTAGTCAATATGGGGACAATTTTATGAACAAAACTTGTAGACCAAAAACCATCAATTCTTGTCAGTCTAAGTCACACTATAACAGCTCTACTGTTGCATGCAACATCCAATTAGCAACAGTGAAACTGTCTCACATTCAGATGGTTCACTGTAGCCTTACTGTTTCTACCACAACCAATATACTGTGGTGAAGTAGTGATTCCCATACACAGCCTGTTATGTATGGGAAGCTAAACCAGCAGCTTTGTTTCATAAATCTGAAGATTAATCACAGTGTGTGGGGTCCTCACCGGTCCTAAACAACAAGAACGGAGGATCTGCAGTGTTTCCTAACCATGGAGTTTCAGATGGCTAAGTCCATCAATAAGGAGTTTTGATATATAAAAAAATTTAAGAATGATTTGCTGGACATCTTGGGGGAAAAAAAGACACAAAATCCAGTTGATTATAAAATTATCTATGACTTCTACATCCTGTTTAGGGTTGCAGTATCGTCTGACCGGATTCCAGCAGTCAGTGGGTAGGGGGTGCCATTTACCTTTGATTATTTATCAAAAGATTTTGATAATATATTATAGAATGCGTTTTTTCTTCACTTCTAACCAAAAAAAACAACAACAAAAAAGATTTACAGAATAACTTCAAACTGAAAAAAACCCTGCCTGTATATAAATGTAGTTGTACAAAATTCTAAATGGCATGAAAATGTGCACCGATGCACACCAGTGTGCAACATATTGCAGAAACCAACGTTGCAGATTTTTCTACTCCTTTCAAATATAGTTAGATGATTAATGTGAAAATTGCTGCTGTGGTGATCATAAAAGCTCACTGGTATAAAACAAAAACCTAAATAACATATCTTTTTGAAGACCTGTTTTAAAATTGACCCATTGAGGAAGCTCTCTGCTGAGCAACATTTTACAATAACCTATAAATAGTTTTTTTTTTTTTTTGAGTGCTGGTTTTCCTGAGTAATACAAACTAACTCTGCAATACATGGAAGTGACATGCAGGAAACAAGACTGCATATGATGTATTTCACACAACACACTCTTAACCAAAGGTCATATCTCTCACACTTCTGAAGGGCTCAAAGCTTCCAGGAAGTACATGCAGTAAAACTCATCTGCTTCAGGGAGCATCTGCTCAGAAGCGCATGGGATGTCAGGGGCGACAGGCCTCTCTGGGTTTTGCCGTTCCCCTCCATCATGATCAACACCTACCAGACCAGCGTGGCGCTGCCTCAGGCGCCTCCACCAGTGCCTCCTCGCCTTGGCAGATCTCAGCCGGTCCTCATCCCAGCTCCTCTTCCTTCACCAGGCCAAAGCAAAAGTCTTCTGCGCTTTTTGGTTTGTGTGGTGGTGCTGCAATTGTTCCTATCTGTTGTAGGATTTTTTTATCTTTACTACAATGAAAGACAAATTTCACAAGTAAGTAGCACATTTGTTCTTGTTTTTTTTATTTAATACAGAAAAAAATTACTTTTATATTAGTCTTTAGCTGAGCACCATGTTTAAATCTCCTTTTTTAAATAACAATCAGAAGCCAATAACATATGAGGCAGGTACTGATACGGATTCAAGCGTTTGCTCTCATGTACAATTTTGTGTTAAATGCACAGGAAATCCTCCTCTAAATATGACACAAACATCACACCTCATGCATTTGTTTTCTTCCCCCCTTCTTCAGCGTTCTGTAAAAGTAGATCTAATACAGCATGGGGGAAATTGTTTTTGTCTGTTGCTCTTTTGATATATATCTTTTTTTCTTGTTCTTTCAGGCAACCTACTCCTCGCCACAAGGAAGAGGTACATTGATTTTACTGATTAGAGCTGTATTTGTTTCTCTAGAGAGAAAAGACAGATAAAGAAACTTGACATGCATTTGTTTTTTTTTCCCTTTTCCAGTTGGTGCTCCCCCCATTGGAAAACAAGAAACAACCTACAGAGCCCTAGCATCCATGGTAGTGAAGAATTCATCCACTCTATATGGGGATCGATGTAAGAAAATTCACATTTCTTATTAAACTTCCATTCTAAGAGTATATTTCAACGTTTGCTTGAATCTTTTAACTTTTTCTTTCTAGCTGGTTATATCGAGTGGGACATGCAGCACTCAGTTTTTAAGAACATCAACTACTTCCACAACAGCTGGCTGACTATCCTTGAGCCTGGCATCTACTTTGTCTACTCCAAGGTGACATTCTCCAAGGGAAGCTCCATCACCCCGCTGGTCAGCTTGGTCAAGCTGAGGAAGAGCGAGGAGGAAGAGGAGAAATCAGTGATGATCGCCTACTGCAGCCTCAACAACGATATGAAATCTGGGTCCAACCCTCATATGTGCACAGCCACACAGCAGGACATGATTGAGCTGGAAAGAGGAAACCAGCTCAGCATCTGGGTGGAGGACCGCTCACTTGTGGACTATGATATCTCTGCAATAAGCTTTGGGATGTATAAGGTGTAGGACCCACAATGCACCAGGACTCCAAAAGAGGGATCTGCGACTATGGATGGGATATAGATACTAAGAATACTCAAAGGAGTGGATCAACGTACCTGTTTTGTGACATAGACACATTTACAAACTATAATTTATTAAATATATTGTGTCCTTATTTTTGTCAATGATTACTTTTTATTTATTTATGTAAGATGAATTATATTTAAAATATTTTTGTATACAATCTAAAATAATCTGTTTGGCTTTTGTTTTTTTGTCCATTTCAAGAATCAACATCCTTGCGGTTTAAATTTAGGATTGCAGTTACAGCGGGCTCTGGTAGAATATTTCTTCAGAAGAAAACTGAGCATTTGAGAGTGAAAAAAACCAACAGTTTTTAATGACACAAAGCAGATAAACTGCTTCCTCTTGCTCAGAATGAACCACTGTGGTTTTGATTTTCTAGGGCAGCCAACAAAAACCAAAAATGCCCTAAAGATGGAAAGCATCTCTAGAAATCTAATGAGGCCATCTTTGTTTGTCATTGGGTAATATTTTCCCATTAATCGGCAACTTCATTTAGGTTTACCAATTTATTCTTTGACTTTCTAAAACAGAGAAGAACCACGTGGGAAAAACATAAAAAAACAGCCTGGTAGTTTTTCCTGCTGAAGGGTTTGCTGGATGGCAGCAGTTCATGGAGATGATGTGAAAAGCTTCTGAGACTATTCAGACATCTGTTCAAGGAGCAGCTCTGAAGCAGATCCAGGAAACTTTAGAGACCCTTGTCTTGTCTGTGATACCGCATCATTGCCCTTAAATGTTTTAATTCCTCCTTTGGTTTCTTCATATATCCCCAGTGCTACATTTTGGTTGACATTACTTTTAGAGCAGCAAGACACGGCGTTGGAAGGAACTTGAGCTTATAGCATTTTTCTTTAGATTGCAAAGTTATGTCAGTGGTGAATCAATCATGTTTCCTACAGATCTGCAAAAATGGACAGAGCAAGCAAAGGGACTGTATTCACTGCAATTACAGGAATTTGGGCAAGCATATCCCAGCAGGATAATTCCACGCTGCAGAGATTCTTTAAAACGCTTGAGATTAATAAAACATTTATTCCATGTGTTAAAAAACAATTATAAACATTTATATAGAGAGTCATTACGATCATGTATGAATGACCAGGCTCAGAATGTCTTATTTCACTGTAAAACCGAACTAGAAATATGTCAGCATTTCTTAAATTAAGTGTATATACCCTTAATTTGAGTAGGTAAATAAGATGATCTGCCAATGGAATGAGTATTTTTACTCTTAAAATAAGATAGATAAAATGCACTTGAAATAAGACAAAGCAATTGTTTTTACCTTATTTAAATGCAAATTTTCTTGTTCCATTGGAAAAGTGTCTCACTTATCTCCTAAACTGAAGAAAAAATCAGTTATTCATATTTCAATAGTTTTTTCAGTGTTATTATTCTTTATTTTGTAAAGGTGTATCAAAGTGTGTTTCATAATAAAATCAGGATAAGAAATAGCCTTTTAACTCATACCAGTTTTTTTAAGAGGCTTTAGGTGTTTAAAATTAGTTTCACTTTGTTTCGTCATGTTAAATGATGACTAATCTCCTGCTAATTAAAGCATTTCCTCCAAGTAGGAAGCCAAGGTAGGGAGTAAAACAAGGTTTAAAATTAAAAGCAGTACTGAAACACTCTAAACTGTGGGTCAAAGTTGGCACGTAAAACGTGCTTTTTAAATGGATTACCACGGCTCGGAAAGTGTGAATCTCCATAGAGGCGTGCAGGTGCAGAGGAAACCCACTCTTACAGTATCTGTTGCATCTCTAGTCACTCCTTCCATCGTGTAAAGGTTTTCTTGATAGGAAGGCTGAACAACCTACAAATTCCTGCCTTGCACATATGATGAATGTCGCGCGGAAAAGCCAGCCTGCCTACCATTTATGGATTTCCATTACTTATTCATGGTTTAAACTGACTTTCAATCCAAACTCCACTTGTTATATTAAACTTTTATTAAAAGAACAATCAAACCAAACATACAGTACAGAATGTTGAGAAAATAAAAGGATAAAATACTTGCAACAATCTTTGCATAGAACAAGCTTTAAAAAAAAAAAAAAAAAAAAAAAAATCAGTGGTGTGGAAATACACCTTTAAGTGCTTACAGAAGCTATTGAGAAATTTGAATTACAGTGTGTGGTGCTTAATGGAAACAGTCGGCTTTTTTTAATAACTGTTTTTATTTAGAGAGGGGTGGGGGTGCATCACTGCAACGTCACCGATGAAAGTGTCCCACAGTTAAAGATCTAGCTGGTGAGCTCAGATGTTCTTCAGCTTCAAATTTACACCTCTGCAGACCAGAGAGCGTCAAACTGACAAACGCTACAAAGTGCTGCAAAGTTTCTGTAAAGAGGTGTATGCAACAACAAAAAAGAAAACTAAAACAACAAAAAAAGAACAAAAACCACCGCCTCCCACGCAGCAGCAGACAAATTCAACAGTTTTGATTATTTGCATGAGAACAAATATTAACCTCAGCTTTTTCTTTTTTTTTTTTTTTTTTTTAGCCAAGACAATCAATTAAATAAAGCTAAATAAAATACCAAACAGTAATGGCGGCCTGGAGCGTTATTTTGGGGGTGGGGTAGTAAATGAATTCAGTCCTCAGTGTTGCGGGTTGTTTTGAATCTGAACGATCACTGCTGGTTTTAATGCAGACGTCTCTCGGTAAAGCAGTCACTTTTTGCATTATAGTTACATTCACTCAGTTCTGTGCAGCACAGCGACACCACAGAACGGTGTAGCCAGTTCACACGCTCGTCCCCCCATGAGGAAATGTACCGCGGCCCGTCCTCAGAAAGAGGCCACGACCTTAAATAGAAAGATAAGCGCTGTTTTTTTTTTGTTTTTTTTTTTTTTAAACCCAATATACACAACATTATAACTCTAAGCTTGACACTTTGAATATATTTCATGTATTTAGTCCCAGTCGGTCTTCAACTCTTTTGGTTTTCAGACCCATTCGGGAGGCACTTGGAAATGTTAACAATATTCCATACAAACATCTGTTTACTTCCTCTGTTCCCAGACAGAAATCTTTTAAATTCTCAATGCAAACATAACTACTTATTTGCTATTTCCTCTTTAGCAACACAAACACGTCAGGGTTTTCTTTGTAAAAAATAAGGCTTCCATCATATTTTAAATTATTGGGTTAGCAATAAATATAGAGTATATTTAAAAACCTCAAACAAAGAAAGGTTATGTATTTAATGTTAAAACGATTCTTCTTTATGCTTTAATGAGGGGTTACCTCTTTGTCAATTGTAATAATAACAGATAGTACAGTTGAGTCTTTCCTATTTTATTATGCAGATGCAATGCTTTGGATTATATATATATATATATGTCTGAATATATAGCGATTATCGCATTTCTGATGCAGAATTCATAATGTAGAAAAACTGTACATCCATGCACTTTTTAAATAAACAGTATATAGCTGCGTTTGGAGGCTTAAATGAGTCTGGCTTTTATTAAAATCTTTGTATAAATCCCATAGACATAAACTACGTGAATCTTTGCAATGTTAAAAATCCTGTATTTTCATGAAAAACTTGTCGATACTTCTTAACAAGGAAGCCCTATGGTGATAAAATATAACAGTGACAAAGTCATGATTAGAGGAGAACGTTGTCAGTCCTTTTTTTAAGAAGCTCAGGGAAGAAAATGGGGCGACTCGATGGCTTTTAACTCCTTTTCTATTTCAAAGACAGCAAAAGATTTCCTTTTTTTTTCTCTCTTCTTCCGAAATCGCTCCATGAGCTGGATGGATCCTGCAGTCCATATGCTGAAGATTGCTTGAAACACGGAGGATTAGCCGAGCTGTGCAGGAGCAACAAGGCTGATACAGCTGGATCAGGAAGACGGATCGGATTCCATCACATTGTCAAACGGTGCACCAGGATGGAGGCGAAAGAAACTCGAAGTATCGTCTGTAACGTCTGACTTACTTTGACTGAAATGTGAAGACGGAAGACAGGCATACAAAAATAAACACGCAAAAAGTCTACTCCTGTGAACAAGGAGCTGTGGTGTGAGGACGGTTGGCTGTTTCAATGGTTGCTGTCCTCCCAGCCACAGTCGTTCTTCTGCTTACTCAGCTTTCTCACTAACTTTTCCAGCTCTTTACGAGACTTCTGCTCCTCCTCCAGAAACTGCTTCATCCACTTATTCTCCTGTAAAACATGAAGGATCAGAAGAACGGGGTCACTAATGGTTTTCTACTGCTTAGAGAAATTGCAATTATTCCATTCATCAATTACAGTGTCCTATAGATACCCTCTATGACGCGTTTCCATTTTTAAACTTTATAATAAAATCATGAAGTCATGTCAATGAGCTTTATATGACAGATCAACACAAAGTGCTGCTGCACAAGTGTGCAGTTGAAGGAAGATGATACATGTTTAAGATTTTATTGGAAATCAAAAAGTGTGGCATGTATTTTTCAACCAACTAAATCCAATCTAACTGTCATGACAGATCAGAAAGAATCAACCTAAGGCACGGCAGTGGAGTAGGGTCCGACGACCCCAAAGGGAAAAGGGCCCCGTCTTTGCCTTTTGGGGTTGTCGGGTCTGCCTGCACTGCATTTAAGAGCACATCTGAGGAGACAACTGGACATTGAAATATTAAAGAATAGTCTAAGCAGCACAGATCAGACAGGAATGTGTTAGACCAACATCCTGTTGTCTTCACAGTGGGGGGTTTCCACAGAGCTGTTTCATGATCAATTTAGAGATCAAAGTCAGATCTGACTCTAACCACCAGCTGTTTGGACTGTCAAAACATTAGCTCCTCTACCAAGAAGCTGGTGGTAAAAGCTGATCTTAAGTCAAAATGATGGAGAGACGATCTCACTATGTTTCCTATTTCCTTCTTTTGAAATATCAACAAGTAGGAACGATGGGATACTAAAAACATTTTACAAGAAGAGGCATTTCAACTGATGAAAACAGGCGACTTGGAAAGGAACCCATTGGCTTTGGAAAAAAAGATTCCTATGATGATGGAATCAATGAAGAACTTCAATCTAAGCCTCGCCGTTACGTACTTCTCACGTCTAACTCAACTTTCTGAGCAATGGGTCACATGTTATCCAATGGATTCTGCTGAGAATTTACATCAGTAAGCATCTAACCTGTCAACTAATAGCTTAGTCAGAATGGGGCAATGCTAACTGCAGGATAAAAATTGACAAAAAAAGTTATGATACTGAATCCTTAAACAGTTAATCATTAAGTAATTACACATTAAAGGCGGTAGTTTTGTCGTTTAAAGGAGATTTTAATTTATATATCTACATTTTTTGCAATATGTAATTTACTTCAGACGCACTTCAACTGTTAAAGGTATAGTGGAGGATTTTTGCAAATTCTTGAAAAGACCCGCCCTTTCCACTTTAAAAAAAAAAATGCTCACGCACAACTATATACCTGCTCCCGAGGGGAAACACCTATTAAAAATCCATTTCTCATTGAGGAGGTGAGGAGACACAATGATAAGACTCTAGCTCGGATGGATTGATAGTGCACAAAATGGTAGAATTGTCTTTAGGACAAAAATAAAGACACTGAAGTTGATTATCTTCATTTGCCCACCAGAACGGGGGGGGAAAAAAAGAGTTTCTAAACAAGTGGAATTCAACATTGCTCATCTCACCCATATTTATATATCAAAGGTTTCCCTACTGGTACATAAAAAAAAAAAAATCATGACATGCTTGTATGTGTGTGAGCTGCAGTGGAAATTTGGACA